CACCTCCAGTTCACCTAGCCACAAAGTGGGCACTTAATCCATAGGGTTGAGAAGCCCCTTCACACCCTAGTGTCACATCAGCTATGGAAACTGACACACCAAACTGCATCAATCTGATGAGCCATCTATGCCTCGGGGCAAACTTTGACTATTATTCTCCAGGTGCTTACAAACTCCTTGAAAAAAGAGAGGCAGGAACCAAAAAGGTGAGGAGGAAGGGTATAGATCTATGAACACTGAATCCATATCCTTGACCATAGTTTCAAAATTGCTTCTTTTGAGTATGACCAGATTGAGTTGAGATATTGGAAGAATTGGACAATTTCCTCTTCTAGAATCTAGGACTCTGTCTACTCTGATCAAAAGGTCTCTGATGAAAAAAATAGTTAGAAATAGAAGGTTTAGACCTCTGTTTGGAAGCTATTTGAGGTCTATACTGTTCTCTCTCGAAAGATGCGGTATAGAGACCCAACAATCTTCATATGACTCTTGAATCCTTTAGAGAAGGCAATGTGTCACCTGTCTTGGCACTAAAAAGATCCTGAACATTATAAAAGTGAGTTCTGTACTGCAGTCTGGACCCCTCCAGGCAGGCCCAATGCAGAGAGCCAAGAATCTCTTCAAATGACAATAGCAGTTTCCTGTGAGTATGCTCCTGCATCCACTGAGTCTAATGCTGCTCTCAGAGATATTTTTGAACCTAACATACCTTTAGAACAGATGGACATAAATTTGTCTCTTAATCCTGCAGGAGTTTATCTTGAAAACAGCAACTTCAAAAGGAGCACATTGGAAATATCAAGTCCCCCAAGGGTTCTGAGTGTCCTGTTGTATGTAGTTATACTGAGCAAGCATTGCTTGATAGTTAGAAATTCTAACCTGAAGGGAAGCAAAGGATTCAAAAAAAAAATACAATTGTTTGTGGTTCTCTCTCTTTCTCTCAGGGTAGATCTCAAAGCCTGCTAGATTTTCCATTAACAGCAGTGACTACTAGCAATGAAGGAGCTAGGACAGTATAAAAATACTGAAAGCCCTTGGGGGAACTTGATATTTCCAATCTGCTCATTTTGAAGTTGCCGTTATATAAGCTAGTGTTGCCCACAATTATTTAGCTGTCTTGAGAACACCCTCATTAATAGGTAGGGCGATCCTATTTTGAGCATAAGGCTGCAGAATATCAAACAGTTTAGTATACTTTTCCTGCACCAGTTCCTGGGGAATTTCTAATGTCTCTGCCATTCTCTTTAAAAGATCCTGAAAATCCTTAAAATCATTGTGACCCTAAGAACCCCTCAATGCCAACTGGCAAAGGGTTCAGTGTTCTGTAACAGCAGCTCCTATCAGGCCTGACAAACTTACTAACACACTGCTTTTATAGTATTTATTCAAAAAGGGTCAGGTGAGGTGTCTAGTGAAAGCTTATGTCATACTGATCCTCATAATCATTATGAGAGGTATGTATGCAAATATATTTTAGTGTCTGTGTCCAGGCAGGATTGACAAACAGGTTTTGCCAGACAAAAGGATGTCTGCCTAGGTTCATGTGTAGATTACGCATTGTAAATCAAGACAATGGAGTTGTCTGTCTGGGAGCAGAAGCAGCCAGAGAACAGGCAAAGAGAAGCAGTCAAAAAGCCAAGCGGACAGCAAGAGAAGGACTAGGAAATGTGGCCTGGAAAGAAAAAGTTCTGGCTGGAAAGCGGCTTGGAGCTGTGAGCAAAGAAACTGCCTCCTGTTTTATTCCGACTGTGTTTGGGGAAACAAGAATTTATGTACATTCTTTGTAAATAAACAGGATTGCATCAAAGATTGCACCTGATTGTCAAAATTTCTCCTCCTAATGAAACAAACCACAAGACCCCAAATACTGGTAATCACTTGGGCCAAAAGTGGTAACAAGGCATTCCTCACTCTCTTGAGGCATCAAGATATAGCCTCTTGATGCAGGGGAGGGAACTACTATCCTGGAACCCCTAAACAAAAAGGCAAGGGCCGATCTAAGGCCTCAAACCTACACTGCCCCAGGCAGCTTCCTTTGCCCACTTCCTAGCACAAGTCAAAACCTACACCCCAGGGTGCTGGGTGGTGGTCTTTTCACAAATGTACAACTTATTCCACTTCATGGACCATATTTTCCTGCATGCCTCTACGCCTTGCCCTCTGCCCATTCTCAGGCTCCTTTCCACAGCTCCTCCCAGGGTGCACTCTGCAGAGGAGCATGCCCTCCAGATCTCTTGTCCTTGTGAAAGAAGGGAGCTTATTTAAGCCCCTCACCCTATCCTAGTATGTATTGCTGCCCAGCCTTCAACTCCCATGGTCCCACTGGAACTACAACCCCAAAATTCCTCACAGCTTGAGAAGGTTTGTGTCAAGCTGTAACCCTGCTTTCAAGGGCTTAGCATTCCCTGTTACAAAAGGATTAGCTGCTCATTTCAGCCACCTTTTTTTGCAATATATATCAGATGCACTTAGAGTGCTAGATAGGTATTTTTGCATACTTTTATAAACAAGAATAATCAATTATAATAACAACAGCTGCTGAAAATCAGTCTGCTTAATTTGGTGCCTAAATATGGATTTAAGCACCTAACTTTAGGCACACTAGTTTGAAATGCTGGCCTTAATTTTTTTGATTCTGCTAGAGGAAAGGATTGAAGAAGTGATTGGGCAAAGGGCTGGGAATTAGGAATTTCTAAATCTAATTCTTGCTTGACATCAACTCCCTCTGAGGCTTCAGACAAGTCAGTTAGCTCCCAATCCTGTAAAGCAATAAGCATGTTCTTTAAGCACATCAATAGTCCACTGGTGATTCAGTTTCTCCACTGGTAAAATGTGGATGATGATAATATTAACTGCCTCTCAAGCTTGTTGTGAAAGTTCTTTGAACAGGACAAGTGCTAATTACTATTACCAGAGAGATGCACGTGCATTTTGTAGCTGGGAGAGGAAGCATTTTTTTGCATAAGTTTATTTAATGTTTGTATCAGTTATTTCAGCTATCTACAGAAGAAGTCAAATGAAATTCATGCTGAAGTGCTGTGAGAGAGAATGCCTCTGGCAGGAAAAAGGCTAAATGTCCATTAGTCTGCCTGTCATTCACCAAGCAGGTGGAAAGCCCATCATTCCATACTGTTGGGTATGATGAGCAGAAGTGGGGGGCGAGGGGGGGGGAAGGAGAGATGATGTGAGGAGGTCTGTGTTTTACAATTCAACTAAATTTCACAATAATCAGGCCCAAGACACCAGGGTTGAATATAGTCCAATGTCACTAGTCATTTACAATCCATTTACACAGAATCCCATAAGAGAGACCACTGCTGCTGACTGATTAGAATGATCTTTGCTTAACCTCAAACAGTAGTTTCTTAAAATTATAATCACCTTTGTAAAATTAAAGAGACAGAAAGACAGACATGTCATTTTCTTTGTATATCAAGTGTGTGCCAACATCTCATACACCTTCTCATAAACATGTTATCAAGAATCAGTTTCAAGCCTAAATTTAGTGGAGGGCCTCCTGAGTCCATAACACAGTGCATCTTGCAGGAGAACTACACCCTAAGAAAAGAGAGGATAACATTTTAAATAGCGCTCTAATTACAAGGAAGCCATTTGGCTTGAGTTTTGTAAAGGCATAAGAGGGGATGTTTGTTATTTATCATCCTGCCATGAACTCATGTCTGTTGCTCGGAACTGGAATAAAAGACTGAGAAGAATTAGATTAACATCAAAGAAGCAGAGCCAAGCCATACTCTTCATCAAAGAAAGAACGCAGACCTGTAACTGTATGTTCAAAATGAGTTCGGTGTCTGGTACTCACTCACAATGCTGCTGTGACTAGATCAGGAGCTCTAACGCACCTAGCATAGTATGAACCGAACTAAAGGTTTCTTGGCAAAAGCCTTTCTTATTTCCATATTTCAGAAAAGACCCTTCTAAAGTCTGCACAATCATTTGCTGCCTGCCTTCCTCACTGTTCCTTGTCAGCAGAAGTAATTAACTTGAACGATTAGCTTGAATGCTGAAAGGCCCTATGTGCCTAGAAAGGGACAACACTATGTCTCCTAGCATACAGCAACTCATTAACTAACATGAATTTCTGATACAGTGTGGATTCAAACAGCATATGGCCTTGCCATGCAGTTTTCCCCCACAGATAGCAAAATCCAATAATAACCCCTCTGATTATTTTCCGTCTACAATTTTGATTAGAGTGGTTACAAAAAATTAACAAACTGCATATTGTGCATCTGCCTTTCATGTATTAAAGAGAAAATTCAATCACTTCAGTGTAATTGTTTTATTTACATCAGATTAACCAAAAAAAGGTTACTTTTTTCAACAGAGTAAGAAATTATGCAATTCACAGCAGGAGACTAATCAGCAGTGGAAATTAATATTTTAGTGAAGAGGATAGAAACTGGTGAGTGCCTCTGGGATGGGCAGGAAGCCAAATATTAAAATAACCTTGAACATTTCCATTTAAAATTTAAACCTGACAACAGTGGTTATCATGAAGTAATATTTTATTCATTCTCCCCTTCCATACATCAACCTTTCAGATGAATAAAGGCCAGGTGATCAGCCTCTGTTCTGAGACCAAGACGTGGAAATAGAATTTCTTTTCCTCTGAATCAGCACTTGACCCATCACAGAAATGTCTTGTGGACAGGCTTCTGCTCTTACTCAGTGTTTAAAGCACCAACATTTCCAAATGAGCTTGACAGGAATGAACTCAAATATCAACCATATCTGCTATAAATGTAATATTATATGACAAGGGGTTGACTGGACACCACATAATGTCATTTCTTTTAATTAAGCTGCTCACAAGGAAAGAATAGCTATAACAGTACTGTCAGAACCGTAATAAAGAAAAACATTAATTAGCTGTCAATTCAATAATTCTTTTCTGTATTACTTGCAGACTGAGCACAGGGGACTTATCGCACTTTTCAAATTAGCTTAAAAACAGTTGCCAAAAAAGACAGGTGTCTTACCAGTAACTGCAATTCTTCAAGTGTATTGCCTGAATCTTCTAGAAAACCCATGACCATTGGGACCACGAGTGCCCCCTGATGGCATGGAACATTCAGAGCTGCATTCACAAGAGGTTTTGCTGTCTTCAGCAGCCTCAATTCTTCCTATTATACCCCAGAATTATTCACAGTAAAACCTGCAGGAGGAATGGAAAGTGGACAGTTAGTGTGAATATGCAGAGGCAAAATTATGAACCACACTTACTAGTGACTAAACGTATTTTCTTCTTCAAGGTGGCTTTAGAATATTCCCTGTGAAGTTGGGTTCAGGAGTTCTAGTTCAACAAGGATTGTAGAATTGCCCTCCCAAAGTGAGCATAAGAACGAATACCAATTCATGGAAGTAGTGCTGTCTAAATGTGTACACAGAACTCCAGGGACCAATCCTACAATTTTCGTATGATGCAAATATTACAAAGGCAGACTACCAATGCTGCCTTAGCCATAGAAGAGTAAGCACTAAGACTTGGATCTGTGAACTTTCTTCTTTCTCTTCTGCAATGGTACCAAGTCTCCACAACAGGTGATGGTCTCTGAGTTCTTTCCTCTTAACCTTTACATGGGCAAAGAAGCATAACACCAAAGCCTCCACAAATGTTGGGCTTGTCTGAGACCCTGTTTTTAATGACGTTAACTACTGCCCACTTACTGATTGAACTATTGGGCTAAAAATAGAATGTAGCCAGGGAGGCGCAAACAGCAGGAGGTGCTAGCTACTCTGAGTACATAACCATCCATGATGCTAGGCAGCTACTTGGGGCAGCTAGCCCCTTCCACCACTCAGGACACTGCAGCTCCAATCTGCCCTGGAAGAAAATTCTTTCCCAACCCCAAATATGGTGATCAGCTAAACCCTGACTGAGCATGTGGGCAAGACTCACCAGCCAGACACCCAGGAAAGAATTCTCTGTAGTAACTCACATCCCACCCCATCTAACATCCCATCACAGACCATTGGGCATATTTACCTGCTAATAATCAAATATCAATTAATTGCCAAAATTAGGCTGTCCCATCATACCATCCCCTCCATAAACTTATCAAGCCAAATATGTCTTTTGCCCCCACTACTCCCCTTGGAAGACTGTTCCAGAACTTCAGTCCTCTAATGGTTAGAAAATATCTTTATAAAAGCCCAGTACACCAAACAACAACTCAGGAGATGGCCTTCCCCCGGCACCTCAGACAGCTTGTATGTGCATTTGACTCAAGGAACATGGAAGCATACAGACTACTCCTTGGAAAGTTGGTCTTTTTTCCTCATTCTTAGGAATGTCTGGATCAGACATTACACCTCAGAATAGAGCCACAGACAGGAAATGAAACTGTATAATGGCACAGAAACTACTTTAAATTACCAGTCTAAAACCTTTTTAATAATCACAGAATCATACACGTGTAGGACTGGAAGGGGCCTCAATAGGTCATTTAGTCCAATCCCCTGCACTCAAAGACTGCATAATAACTAGGCCTTTCTGGACATGTGTTTATCTAACCTGTTCCTAAAAACCTCCAATGACGGAGATTCCACAACCTCGCTAGGCAATTTGTTTCAGTGCTTAACCACCCTGACAGTTAGCAAGTTTTTCCTAATGTCCAACCTAAACCTCCTTTGCTGCAATTTAAGCCCATTGGTTCTTGTCCTATCCTCAGAGGTTAACAAGAACAATTTTTCATCTTTCTCCTTGTAACAACCTTTTTATGTACTTGAAAACTGTTATGACCCCCTCAGTCTTTTCTTCTCCAGACAACAAACCCAATCTTTTCAATTTTTCTTCATGTTTTCTAGACCTTTAATCATTTTGCTGATCTCCTCTGGGCTTTGTCCAATTTGTTCACCTCTTTCCTGAAACATGGAGCCCAGAACTGGACACAATACTCCAGCTGATGCCTTATTGACACCTCTGTATCTGAAATATAACAGCAAGAGATTCCTTGTGATGAAGACAAGGAAAAAAATTCTCTATACCTGCAGCATTTTCCTCAGGGGCTAGTAGCTGCATTTTGCCATCTGGAATCGCTAGGTGCTTCACTGTTGAGGTTGCTGAGGGGAATGTGCTGAATTTCTGCAGTACTAGGACCCTCCACTAGTCTTCATCTGACCTTGGCCTGTGCTGGCAGAAGCTGCAGACTCTGGGGAAAAGCTTGCCCACTCTATTTTCAAATAGGCAGAACGGGCTGTAGCATGTTGGGATGTGCCTGTGTCCCTCTTCTCCTGCCTCTCACCAAAAAATTAACCAGATCATGTCTACCATGAGCACACCCCAATGCACAAGGCCAGTCTCAGGACTTTGGGGGAGAAGTCAGTAAGATGATTGTCCAGGCTACAAGCAATCTTCTCCTCTGGAGCACAAGGGGAGTCCAGGTGGCTTGGCTCTGTGCGTAGTTGCCAACATTTGAAAATGTTTTTCAAGGGAAAATTCTTCAAATAAGTTAGTGATCTGGAGTCATGACTCCCCCACTATGTGTGTTTTATCCTCTTCCTCTAATTAGCCAGCCATAGATCCCAGAGTAGCTAGCAATAATGTTAAGGTAACATGAGTTCAAAATAGCCAAACTGTCATGTTCCTGAAAACATACGGGGCATGTGCCAGAAAAGTACAGTAAAATTAGAGAAAATAAATTACATTACATTCATTAACCTAGACATTGCATGTCTTTTATTGCCATTTCTATTCTCCTCTTTCTCTATCATCTTTCTCTCCTTCCACGTCCAATTCATTCTTTCCGCTCTTCTTTCTTTGAAAGGTATCTTCTCCTTTTCTCTCCTACTTCCTGTTTCATATTCCCCGCATCCTGTTGGCTGTTCTTTGTCCTTTCACAGAATCATACACATGTAGGACTGGAAGGGGCCTCAATAAGTCATTTAGTCCAATCCCCTGCACTCAAGGACTGCTGTTGCTTTCCTCTGGCTCACCTTTCTCTGCTCTACCTGTCTCTCACCTCTATTTCAACACACCTCCACAGCCCTTTCTGTCTCTCATTATTATATACAGCACTTTACTAATATTACTACCCATCAGAATGCACACATGGAGGTCCAAAAGTAAGTGTTGTCATCACAATGTTACAGCTGGGGGACACTAAGGCAGAAAGGTTCAGTAACCGACTAAGGCCACAGAGGTCATGGCTGAGATTAGAATATAGGAGTGAGTGCCTGACCTCAATTCCAAACTTAGTGCACTAGAGCACACTGCCTCATGTGCCACTGAGCTGTTGTGTCACCATCTGCATGATCACAGGCCATAATGAGTGTTCACCAAACGAGCCAGCTCATTAGCAGACAGTCAGGAACAGCCAGGGAGCTTGTGATGGCTCTAACATCATTAGCAGCAGCCCCGCTGGCAAATCTCCTCCTCAATAGCTGCCGATTGGTCTGACTTTTACCACCCCTCCAAAATCTGGGACTCACGGCTGTGGGTTTCACAAGCCCTAGAGACAGCCTAATGACTGTAAGACAGTGGCTCTCAAACTTTTTTACTGGTGACCTCTTTCACATAGTAAGTCTCTGAGTGCGACCCCCCTTATAAATTAAAAACATTTTTTGGTATATTTAATACCATTATAAATGCTGGAGGCAAAGTGGGGTTTGGGGTGGAGGTTGACAGCTCGTGACCTCCCATGTAATAACCTTGTGACCCCCTGACGGGTCCCGACCCCCAGTTTGAGAACCCCTGCTGTAAGAGGAACTGTGAGTAACTCCTAATTTTTAGCAAAAGTCACTCTGACAGCCAGCCCTAGTGACTGGTTGACATTTTCCAGGCTAGCTTTCCCATGAAAATGGCTAAGAAATTACTTGTTTTAAAATGAAATCTGAGATTAGCCTTAACAATTACAGATTCACCCAAATCAGAGAGGAATCACAGGATTCATGGGTCTCTAAATGCTGGCAGGAGCAGAAATTGGCTCTACAGGTGCAGAATATGTTTAATTAAATAAACAAGATAGTCTCAGCTGTTAAAATGCATATCTACAGTTCAGGAGACCTGGCTTCTATGCCTAGCTATGCCACAGATCTGTTCTATACCCTTTAGGCAAGTCACTTGGAATGGATCCAAGAAGGTATTTAGTCCCCTAATCCTCAGATTTAAGCACACAAATCTTGGGTTCAGGAGCCTAATTTCCAGTTTTGGCTCCACTGTAATCCACAAAACTTCTGCTGAACCCTATAGGTGCCTAAACTCACTCTGTGCCTAAGTTTTCAGAGTAAAAGTTCCCTAGGGGCCTATGTCTCTGCCTCTGGTCTCTGCACTGCTGCTCCACTCTAGGCAGCTGGACACCTAAGCTCCAGAGCAATTCATGAACCAATGAAAGACAAGTGTCTTCACCTAAGCCACATGTGGGGCCTGATCCAATCGGGGTGCTCAGAGGCCACCTACAGGATCAGATCCCATTCCAAATCTGCCATCGCCGGCTGCAGATCATCCACAGTGGAATCAGACATTTGGGGATTGTGAAGGGGGGAGAAAGAATGCTAGAGAATGACTCTGTATTCCTGTGGTTCGGGTACCCACCTGGGAGGTGGGAGACCCAGGGTCCAGTCCCCCATCCCCAATTGCTCTGTCATTATTTGTTCACAGTGGAAAAGCTTCAACAGGAAGGACTGAGGGAGTCCCACATCAGAATATCCCATAGCTCAGTGATTAGAGCACTCTCCTGCAAGGTGAGAGACCCCCCTTTCAAATCCTTTCTTCTCTGGCAGAAATAGGGTGACCAAACAGCAAATGCGAAAAATCAGGACAGGGGGTGGAGGGTAATAGGAGCCTATATAAGAAAAAGACCCAAAGTCGGGACTGTCCCTCTAAAATCAGGACATTTGGTCACCCTAGGCAGAAAGTAGGGCACTGAACCTGGGTTTCTGACATCCCAGGTCAGTGCTCTAACCACTAGGCTGAAAGTTATAAGGTGGGTGATGGTGAGAGCAGCATCACCTCTCCCCTGCCTATTCTGTGTGGAGCAAGGCAGCACTCATGGCTTAGGCACCAAGGACATGTGACTCTAGGCAGCTGGTTCCCATTCATGGACGGCTAAGCAGATACAGACTTCTCCCTGCAGCCTGGATTTAGGAGCCTATCTCCGAAAGAGGGGCAGGCTTAGCAGACACCCCTCTGGTTGGCATCTCCCATTGGTTA